GAACAGCAGCCGCTGGGCAGGAGGTGGTTTTGCCCTGCTGAGTATTTGGGATTTAATGTGATGTTAGCTGGAGCCAGAAGTTGTTGCACCCCTGTTAAAGACGGGGTTCCCGTGCCAATAGCTGGGACTCAGCTCCCCTGAGTTCTGTTGCTGTAGGGGATTGTCCCCCCGTTTCCCTCCTGGTGCTGGGTGCTGGCTGAGTGCTGGGGTCAGAGCTCCTCTCCGTGTTGTTTCACCCCCAGCTGTGAGGTGGCGAAGGCCCCGATCCCGGAGCCGGTTTCCCCGGAGCTGCGGAGGACCGTTAACAGCCTCTCCGAGATGAGCCAGCTGGTCGTGGGTGCGGTGGCCAGATTCAAAGGTAAAGCAAAGAAGCGGTGAGCGATGCCTTGCTGTGTAGGTGGTGTCCAAGCCCCAGGCACCGGACACTGCTGTCCCTGCGCCGTGCTCGGCTGCAGTGGGAGACCCTCACTGCCCACGGCCTCTGCCTGGGGCTCGGGGGCTCCAGGCAGGACCCGTCTCTGAGATGGGCTTTGCTGGAGCCCAGGGCTGTGGGAGCTGGGGAGCAGGCTCCACGTCTGGCTTGCTGTCCTGATGGGGAGCAGGAAAGATGCCACAAGAGGAGAGAGACTCATGCGTCTTCCTTTCCTTCCTCTAGTGAACCTGCTGAGCGAGATGGACAGAGAAAGGGGTAAGTTTCTGGAGCTGATGGGCACAAATGAGGGAGAAAAGCTTTCCAGAATGAGTGTCCTTACACCCTTGGGGCAGAGATGGGCTCACACCACAACTTCTAAATCCAGGGTCTGTCTAAAACCAGGTCTCTTCGTTTTGACTAGGCCTGCTATAAAAATCCAGGTCCGTCCCCATGCCGGGCAATGCCCAACAACACTGTCCTCTAACACCAAATGAGGGCTGGGGCAGCGCGAGGCCCTCAGCTTCCCTGTCTCTGGAGACTTTATTCTCATGCTGCGATGTGTAAGACTGTGACCAGTTAAGCAAAGGGGCCGTAACGCATTTTGAGCTGGCTTTTAGGCACGGGTCAGAAATGCCTTTGCAGATGCAGACCGTCCACACAGTCCTGGCAGCATCGCAGGGCTCGGGGCTGGCTGGAGCTGTTGGTGCTGAGGCTGGTCTCTGTCCTTTCAGTTTTTGGGATGAGGGACCTGACACACAGGATGGGCGTGCCTTAGTGTCCCCCCCCGCCATGAGCTGGGGCCCTGGAGGAGTGGGTTTAGCAGAGGGCCTGGGGTGGTGGCACTGTGCGGTGACACCTCTGTGGCCTTGTGGGATGGCCGCAGGATGGCAGCAGAACATCCCACATGAACGGGCGGCTCCGGCTCTGCAGTGAGATTGCCTGGTTACTCGGCGGAGAGGAGTTAGGAGCTGGTATTCCCTTTGGTGAGAATTCATCCCCCTTGTCACTGGAGCAGGGACTGGCCTGGCGCCACTGCTGCCTTGCAGGCAATGCTTCCTCACACTCCGGGGATATATTGCTTCCCCACACCCAGCCTGGCTGCAGCCCCACCACACTTAGACCCAGCAATATCCAGCCCAGGATCAGCAAAGCAGGTTTAGCAAAGTCCATTGTGTCTGTTCCCTGCGCGTGGGGACGCTGCCTGGCTCAGTCCGGCTTCGGGGAGCATTGCTTCGCCCATGGGTCCTGGTGCGGAGGGCAGCGAGTGCCCCGTGTCACCCGAGGGGGCTGCAGGTGCTGGGTGTGTGTGCTCGAGTGCCCACTGTGCTCACAGGACACGTCCCAGCCCCACGGAAGAGAAGGGAGAGGTGCTGGGTTGCTCCTCAGTGGGCATCGGACTGACGTTTCTCTCTGTCGTGCATTAGTGAAGGTGACGCTGGACCCAGAGACAGCAAGCCCGTACCTGATCCTCTCGAAGGACCGCAAAACCGTGCGGCTGGGAGATGGACAGCAAAACCTCCCCGACACCCCCAAGAGATTCACAGGCAGCCCCAGTGTCCTGGGCTCCCAGGGGTTCACGGCCGGGAGGCATTACTGGGAGCTGGAGGTAGGGAACGGGGACAGTTGGGCCGTGGGGGTGGCCGTGGAGTCTGTGCGGAGGAAGGACTCCCTCAGCATGGCCATGGAGAAGATCTGGGCCCTGCGGCTGGACTGGAATCGCCAGTACACGGCGCTCCACATGCCCCCCGCCCCACTGGCACTGAAGGAAGAGCCCCGGCGGATCAGGGTCCACCTGGACTACGAAGCAGGCCAAGTGACCTTCTACAATGCGGAGAACATGATGCAGATCTTGCAGTTCAAGGCCACCTTCACTGAGAAGGTCTTCCCATACTTTTGGCTCTGGTCTCAAGAAACCTACATCCAGCTGTGTGCCTGACGGGGTCGGATGCCTCCCGGTCCCCTGCCTGTGCCTTTGGCTAGCTGAGCAGGATGTGTGGGAATGACGCAGCATCGCGTTGCAAACTCACTGCAGCTCTGCCTGGGCTGGATCCCCTCTGCATGTTGCTGTATCTCCTCCTGCCCAGTACTTTGGAGCATTAAAGATGTGTTTTCCTGCCTGGGGGTGTCTGCACACTGGTGTCCTGACCAGATCTCACAGTGACAGTGTCCCACCTGTTCCTGCGGGCACTGAGGACACAGACAAATAAGCAGGAGAGAGGCAGGGAAGATGCTCTGATTGCCCATGCTGGTCTTTGGCAGCGCTGCATGGCTTGCTTTAGCTCGGTGTGCTGTGCTATGTTGTAGGCAGCACAGGGATGCAGCCACCCCACACCCGGGAACTCAGGGTGGAGCCACGGAGCTGCTGATGGTGGTGGTGACTGCTCACGTAAAACTCTAAAAACTGATGCTTGAAAGGAAAATTTTCAGGGAGGGGACAGGGCTGACTGGAGAGCTGGAGTGAGGGCACAGCCCGAGCCTTTCCAGGCTGGAAGGGTGGCAGCCACTGGGGTGTGATGGGGATCTATGAGATCCTTGGTGGTCAGAGAGGGAGCAAATGCCATGTTGTCTAATCCAGGAACCAGGTGAATCTGGTGGGTGGCAGGGCCCAGGCAGAGGGACACGGGTCATATCCTGAAGGTGTGGGATCCCCTGACAAGGCTTTTACATCTCTGCGTCAGGCTGAGAACACTGCACCTAATGTGATCAGCCCTGCAGCCGGCGACAGCGGCCTCTGAAACCACCTCAGGGAGATCCAGCAGAGCCCATCTACCAGGGACTTGCTCGACAGCAGAGATCTGCAAACCCTTAGGTGAGGAGAAGATGCACGACTTGCTGGAGCCACGCTGCGTGTCCTGAGCACCTCACTGTATCACCCTGTTTCTCCACCTGTAAAATGGGACCATGTGTTTTGGAGCTGCGACTGCTCCCCCCTCACCTGCAGTGTCCACAACCGGGCAGGCCTGAGGGACGACCCATGCAAGGAGTCCCCTCCTTTCCACAGCACAACCATTGCTGCCTCTGTCCTGCTCCATGACTGTAGGCAGGGGATAGGGCAGGGAAAAGGCAAGCTGGGGCAACGGGTCCTCTGAAAAGCTGGGCGTGTGTCCATTTTTTAAGGCAAACAGCAG